ATGGAATACCCAGCAATAAAATAATTACTGAATCTCAGAAACATTTGTCTTGAGCGAAAAAAGCCAAACACACACAAAAATAAACTATCAGATTCCATTTATATGAAGTATAAGAATAGGCAAAACTAATCTTTAGTGATAAAAGCCAGAAAGTGGTTGCTGACAGGGAATAGACTGGAAAAAGGCACAAAGAAACTCTCTGAAATGATGAGCATATTACAGATCTTGTTTTGGGTGTTGACTTAATAGCTATACAATTGTCAGAACTCATTGAACTGAACATGTAAGATGTGTACATTTTATTGTATATAAATTATATCCTAATAAAAAATTAAAACAAAAAGACACTTAAGAAAATGGGAAAAAGCCACTGACTAGGGGGGAAATATTTCCAGTACATTTATCTGACAGAGCTCTTGTATTTAAAGAACTCTCACAGCTCAGTTATGAGCTGAAGACGAATCTGTTATAGTCCATAGTCTGAGACATGTAAATACAAAAACATAAATCTAAGAGATGGTATCTACAGCTTTTTCTCTAATAGTGATTGTTTTCTTTTCATTTGTACTGATTTGACATAGAAAATTAGTATATATTGGTTTAAAAATTGTCATTATAAATATATAGTAATATATAGGATGTACTTTTTATTACCAAAGCCAAACAAAATCTAACAACTTTTCATGTTGTTACAAAATAAATCTTACTGGAGACAAAAAGAATTTTGCAGCATGTAAACTGAACTGAAGCAGAACTAAATTCCCTAAACTTCACAAAGTGTTGAAGCAGAATTGTTGGTGATAATTTCTGAAGTAAACATCATAAAATATTATACCTTAAGTTAGAAATAAATTAAGTCAACCAAAAATAAAAGAACTAGATCCATAGTAAAAGAAATGCACTGACTTGGCTATGTGCCTTTTGCTTTAATAAAAGAAATGAGATAACCAGACTTTGAGGGATTTTTTTTCCAGTGTTCTTCTTGCTGCACGTGCTAAACAATGAGTTCTCTAATTTTGCTTATACATAACTTTTAAAATGCAAATAAAAACCTTTAGACTTCAGAATTGATGTATAATATACTGAACTGAACTTTGAAACCTTGTTCTTCATGTGGCATTAAAACACAAATTCTAAAATGGATCAGTAACATTCAGTATTATCCAGTGACCTGGCAAGTGCATTCAAGTTCCTTTTAATTATTGGACTGTCTTTTAGACAATGCTTGTTCCAAACCTCCACACAAATATAGAGGCTGTATTTTTTACATATGAAGCATAAGCATTTCATATGAAATATTAATAAATATGTGAATAAATGAAGCACAACCTTTAGGGATCCTAATTACAGTGTGGTGGGAAGGATAAGGAGTCAAAGTGATCTATAACTGCAGACTCTTAAATTTTCTACCTTGTGATTTATTTATCTGTTCTATTAGTTCTGTATCTCCAAAATACCTCTATTCATTTGTGCAACAAAAGATCTTTACTGAGTGCCTACCTTGTGTCAAGTATCATGCTTGGTGCTAGGTATAGTGCGGTAGACAAGGCAGGCATCATCCCTGCCTTTATGGGAGGTGTGGAGCAGTACTGAGGTGAGATTTAGAACACTGCTATGGAAATTCTCCAGGAGATGCTGATACCCTGGGTCCAGGTGGGGACTGTGAGGGCTGCAGGAAGTAGAGTTCAAGGGACTTAAGGCTGTCACAGCTAGGACTTGATCACTTAGATGTGGAGGTTGAGGGAGGGAATGAGTCAAGGATGATGGATAGAATTTATTTTGGGCATTTCATTCAGTTCTTTTATATCTTTTATGTGGCAGAATAACCCTCATATTTTTTATCCCCTCTCCACCCCTTTTTTTAAATTTGGTTTTGTTTGTTTTAGAAAGCTGCCCTCAAGCTTCTGGAACCCACTTTGCCTGTCAAGAGACTGGAAATATACATCTCCCAGATGGCCCTTAACTAATGACTTAAAGGCCAGGAGTATGAAACCCTTGCCTTAGGCTGGGACCACACAAATTGTTGGGGCTGTGAAGCCTACCTTATAGCTCAGAGTTCCCCTGCAGATTAGGCTAATGCTAGATAATGATATAATTTATCAAATAAATTAGTAATTATCAAATTTATTGTATTAGTAATTTATCAAAATAACCTAAGCATATTTTTAAAGGCAAAAAATGCCAGGAAAGAGGGTCTCTTAAAAAATAAAGCCCTACATCCCTCCTCACCATCCTGCTCTCCAGAAATTAACATGTTTAACTCTTTTACTCTTTCTTCTGGTATTTGCCTCAATTTGTAAGCAGTATCATACTCAGTTATCTCTTCATTTTGGAGTTTGTAGATACTGTATTGATGTCCTATTTTCATAGGTGAGTTTAGCTCTGTTACTCTCCTCCTACCCATCCCACCACTCTCCTAATGTAGTTAACATCAAAATGTTTTATTAAATCAATGTTCAGTGTTTCATTATTATGATTATATATTTATGTTGAGCCAAGTAGTTGAATTTTTGTGAAATGCTCATTCTTCCTGAAATTAATAATTACCTCATTTCATTTCTTTAGTTTTCTTTGAGCTAATGGCTAAGACTTCCCCCATACTCCAAAGCTCTATAAAATGCCCCTCGATGCAGTTTTCCAAACAGTTGAACTTGCCAATACTGTTACTTTTTCTACTTTCCCTACATATTTTCTTCAAGGAGACCTCCATAACCTGATGTATAATGGACTAGTTACTGCCCCGCAGTTGTTATGGAACTTTCTTTTACTGTCATCTTGGGGATTACCCTTGCTTCCTGCTTGTGTTAGAGTCACTGTTTACTAGACAGTACTTTATCATTTTTACTGCTTTACTCTTGTTTTGGTAGATCTCAAATTCTTATAACCTCTTTGCTAAAGATAACTTTATTCAACCACCATTGTCATCATCATGATACATGATTGATCATTTGGCTAGGTATAAAATTCTCGATTGAAAATGACTTTCACTCACAGTTTTGAAAGCATCCTTCTAGTTTCCAGTACTGCTGTTCAGAAGCCATTTTAAGGTATTATTTTTACTCCTAGTAGTCTGAAGCTTCCACAATATTAGGCCTTGAGTGGGTTTTTTTTTCTTCATCTTACCAAACAATTTATGAGGTTTTTTTACTCTTAAAACTCAGTTCTGATAAATTTCAATTATTATTATATGTTTAATAATTTCCTCCCCACTGTTTTCTGTCCTCTCTTTTTGGAACTCTTGTTAATCTGTTACAGGATCACTAGATTGATTCTCTAATTCTTTTTCTTTTCTCTTATTGTCTACCTCTTTATCTTTTTGTTCTTTCTAGAAGAATTCCTCAACTTTGTCTTTTAGTCTTACTGAATTTCTTTATTTTGGCTATCATATTTTTAATATCTGAGAGCTCTTTCTTATTCTGTTTCTTTTTATAATATACTTTTCTTAAATATTTTTTAACAATTATTAAATTGTTAACAATTAAACAGTTAAAATTTTTAACAATTTTAACAATGTAAAACCAGACTCTTCTATCATGAGGCTACTACCTCAGTTTTAACCACATTTCTTCATGGGACTGTTTGTAGGTAGTTTAAATTTTGTCCTCCCCCCAAGGCTCTGAAATGAGTCAGAATAGCATACTAATTAAATCAAATCTTAGACAACACTGAACCCAAGGCTGAAAATTCATCCCCTATTCTATTTCCCATCCCAGACAAGCCATCCCAGTTTATAAAGCTCATCAGGCATTCTGAAATGAGATAAGTAACAAAATTAACACATTTTAGTAATGTCAACTGCAAAGATTTGCTCCAAAAATTGAATGTATATCTGTTCTCCAATATAAAGTTCCTAGGGAAAAATTAAAGTCCTAACAATAAATCCTCTTTGAAGTTAAAGTCTAAAGAAAGTTTATTACTTATTCTTAAGTAATAAACTCCTCCCCATTTTCTTTGTCAGGTTAGTCTCAGCCAGTCTTCAATGCCTGGCTGGAACCAGGAGCCCCTCTGCAGCTTCAGCCTCAGCTGGCTGTCCTTGGAATGTACGTGGGTCTTTCAGTGCCACTGAAGTTACATTAGTTCCACTCCAAGTCCCACATGAGCTTTACTGTTTAAGAAAAAAAAGAACCCAAAGAGCTAATATGACATGTAAGATTATCACAGCACTGGCCCCACATTCATTTATTTTAAAAACATCTGTAGAACGGTTATTCCAGGCAGAGATAACATGTGACATTAGAGCAAAGGAAGATAGATGGAGAAAATCTTCATTTCTGATTCAACAAGATAGTTACTTACTGCCATTGTAATAAAAAGTTTGCTTGGTAAGCACAGAGTCAGAACAAAGGGAATTCATTTTAGATAAACATGATTCCAGTCATCAAGCTGCAACCATATCTACCAAAGCTACATCTGTTACATCAGATACTTGGATCAGGTTGACAGGGTCCCTTTTCCTGGGAGCATCTGTTTCATCTGACTTGAATTGGTGGGTGGTTGTGAGGATCCTTTCTAACCCTGAGATTCTGTGAATCTGATGGGTTATTTATCTACATTGCTGAGTTCTTTGCTTTTTCCATGAAGTTACACATTTCTTTCTACAACAGAAGAATGAATAGAATTGCCACTACTGCTTCCATTAGTACATGTGTACTGTTTCAGAGGCTGGAGCCTTCTGGGACCTGGTAAGGGAGAGGTGCTAGATACATAATAGCAGGAGTTATGCAATCTGGCCTTTCTGGTATCAGGCAGCTCCCCAGTTGAGGGGAAGCTAGAGTCAGCTAAGTGTAACTGCTCACAGTTCTGGTGTCATGGACTGTTGCTAAGAAATTCATTTCCTTGTATCTCAATAGAAAGAGAACTACATAGGACCAATGTGGGAGGCACATCTTGCTTAGAGCAATTTGTTTTGAGTCTTTCTTCAGGGAAGAAATAATAGCAGTCAAATTGGAGGGCTTTGATGGGTGCCAAGCTCTGACCTGTCATGCACATTCTTTCTGCAGGATACCCAACATGAAACAGAAGTATCTTTGACAACTGTTGTGACCTTTGTGGACATTACCCAGAAGCCTGAGCCTCCAAGAGGCCAACCCAGAATGGACTGGAAATTGCCATTCAACTTCTTCTTTCCCTTCAAAGTGGCATTCAGCAGAGGAGCAGACTCTCAAAAAGGCTCAGTCTCTCCCCTTCTTATCCTGTGTCTCTTACTACTTGGAGTTCTCAACCTAGAGACTAAGTGAAAAAAAGAGAAGAATCAGATTTCGGTTTTCCCTGTGGGAAGTTCTGAGGCAGCCTGCTTATCTTGGCTAAACAGGTTCTCACCTACTCATGACCAGAGGAGAGCATTTAGGATAACAGAGGACCTAACTAAAGGAATCTTGGTATACGAAAGAAGGGATTTTAGGAAAGCAATAAAAATATTTTATTCATCACAGCTGTCTGCTTAGGATTCTGCAGACCACCAGGTACACACTAGATTTTCTATTTCTCAAACAGGAAACAATGCAAAGAACCCTTCTTCTGGCCCTGCAGGTTGTGTTGTTTCTGACTAAAGGTTTGCAGGATCTTCATCCGTCCACTCACAGGCACACTTGGGCCCAGCATTAAAAGGAACATGCTACTGTGTGCCCAGGTGAACTCAGGAATAGCTGCCCTCGACTTCAGAGAGAACAGACAGCTGGTGGCTGTATATTTTGTTTGGCTCCTCCCCACTCCCTCAGGTCACACTCTGCCCAGGCATGTTGGGGAAAAAGTCCTTTCTTCTCAGTTTCAGTGGAAATCCAGCCCCCTCTGCTACTAGCAAATGACTCTGCCACTCATTTCTGGTCCTCCCCTCCATTGTGGTGAGGACAAGTAAAGCTGATCGAGAGCTTTATTGTACTAATTCCAGCAGCACATAGAAGTTAAGTGATATGTGGTCTGCTGCATGAGTGTTTTCTTATATATGTGAAGGCTTTTAAAAAAGGAAAAAACTTCTATACATAGCACAACAGCATTTAAATCAAGCGACTTGAGTTCTTTTCCTGGGCGATACACTCTGGAGACTTCAATTGTGTGGCACTGACATGAATAGTGAATGCAGCAGGAAATCTGTTTTTCCAACATAAGACAATAGCAGCTTTAAAGGGCAATGCAGGCAGGCATGTTTGGGCCCTACCTGCATGACCAACTCAGAGAATCTGGCTTGCAGAGAAAACTACTTAAAAAGGTAATTTCCTGTTATTCTTGGGTGAATAGGAATTAGTTGGGAATTATTATAGGCAACCTGGAAAGCAGGAAGCATAAAAAGGTGTAGGCCAGAGCAAAATCATACTATCCTTAAAATTAAGGCAAAATTTTGATGGAAGGTGTGTCATTTCTAATTGTCTTAACTTTTAATCCCTTTTATAAAAAAGAACAGAATGTAAAGAATAGGATATAATAGAATAATTAACTCTAGTGAAAATAGAATTGAGCACCTATTCTGAAACACAGAATTGTTAGGATACAGCCCCTTGGTGAGCTGACAGTTTAGTGGGGGAAGACTGATGTGTGACATAGGAGACACTTCTGCTGAGAGAAACAGTGTGGCCTATACTAGTAAGGCGCAAGCTTTGAGGAGGTGGTGGGATTGGAGCTGAAAATGACAGGGTAGGACTGGGAGAGGAGAAGGTGACGCCAGGAGCCAAGAACAACCTGGGTGAAGGCTCAGAGGCCCCTGTTGAAGTGACTGTGGTAGAAACACTGAATGGGCAAAATAGGCACTAAGATGGGATAAGTAAGATGGGCGCTCAGTATATGGGGGCTTGAAAGCCAGGCAGAGAGAACTGGGAGATAGTCTATTTTCTGACCAACTTCCACAACATATTAATGATCTGAATTTAAAACTGCTTTTTAATAATAAAGCATATACTTCCCTGGTGGTAAAAATTTTTTTATTTAAAAATTTAAAAACAAATAATAAAGCATATACTTAGTTATAATAAATCCTGCTTCATGAGCAGAAAATACTAATTGTAAATGCTATATCTGATGGGTTTATCATTTAGCTGCATTCCAAAGTACCTCAAAGTAACCTACTTCCCCAGAATGAAGTGACAAAGTTCCTGTAGCAGTTGTTACTAACCTAGGAGAAACTGTTTCTGTATAAGGGAGATTCTGCACAAGGGGAGTTGGGAGCTGTGAAGCTGATGGCTGGGTTCCCACCAAAGTCTGTTACATAGATGTTATTTAATTCAGCAACCTTACTCCAAGGAGACCTGTACTAAAACTGACTACAAAGCAATTAGAATATTTAGGTTCTCCAGTTTGGGCTTCTTAAAAGGAACTAAACTTATGTGACAACTCATCCTAAATTACAGGGTTGGAGACATCTAATCCACTCCCAACAGCCTAAGAGTCCTTTTCAGAGTCCAGTCCTTTTCCTCCTTTATGTAAATGCTTATTCCTGTGCCCAAGTGCTATGAAATCATTCTATGCCTTAACAAAAAACTTAGATCTCAACTACAATTCACATACCATAAAATTCACCCTTTTAAAGTGTACAGTTAAGTGGTTTTTAGTATATTTGGTGTTATGTAGCCATCACCAATAATTCCAGATCATTTTCATCTCCCTAAAAAGAAACCCCCTGCTGATAAGCAGTCACTTCCCATTTACCCTTTCCCCCTAGTTTCCAGCAGTCACTAATCTACTTTCTGTCTCTATAGATTTGCCAACTTTGAACATATCATGTAAATAGAATCAAAAAACACTTCTGTGCCTGGCTTTTGCGTAATATTTTCAAGGTTCATCCATGTTGCAGCATGGATCAGAACTTCATTCCTTTTATGGCTGAATAATATTCTATTATATCAATATGCCACATTTGGGGTTGTTCCTACTTTTTTGGTAATTATGACTAATGCTGCTATGAACATTCATATATAAGTGTTTGTATGAATTTTTGTTTTTATTTATCTTTAGTATATAACTAGGAGTGGAATTGCTGGGCAGCATGGTAACTCTGTGTTTAATTTATTGAGGAACTGCCAAAGTACTTTCCAAAGTGACTGCACCATTTTACAATCCCACTAGCAGTATATGGGGATTCTTTTTCTTAAGCATTTTTTAGTTTCTGTTTTGCTTTTTGTGCGGTTTGGGGGTGGAAATTAGGTTTATTTATTTATTTACTTAATATACACAGAGGTACTGGGGATTGAACCCAGGACCTCATGCATACTAAGCACACATTCTACCACTGAGCTATACCCTCTCCTAAAAATGGGAATTTTTTCTCTTAAGCATTTTTCATTTTTATAATCAGAAAATGAAACTATTAAAAAATATTTGTGCACCAGAAAAAACCTCCCTGTTTATTGTATGTAGAAATGTTTCTTATTTATGAGTAACTTCCCATTTCTATTGATGTATTTGTTTGACATTCTGGGCCAGCGTTTTAAATCAGCATTTCCTAAAGGCCAGTCACATCATAATCTGGAGTGCTTTATAAAAATACTGATTCCTGGTTCCTGCCCATAGATATTCTGATTCCCTGGTGGCAGAAGGGGCTCTAAGAATCTGTGTCTTTTAAAAGGCTTCCTGGTGCTTCTGATGTCAGCCTGGTCTATGAAACTACCAAGTGATGTTGCATAGTGTGGCTGAAATTGGTTTCATTTAAGTGTTTGTCCTGTCATTGCCAACTCATGTAGTATGTCTACCAGCCTGGCCTTTTCCCTGAGAATCCCATCACACACAGCTCGCTGAAGGGGTGAGCCCAGCCTCCAGGTTCTTGTCTGCATGCCCTCCTCTCCCTGCCACCACTGACTAGACCAAAAATGGAGTCCTGGACTAAGTAAGGCCAGTAAGATTTTCTCTCTGGGAATCTGAAACTGGGACCAAGCCTAAAAGTCAGTGAGGAGTAGACACCAAAGAGATTTTAGGGATGAGTAAGCCATTTTCCACCAGCTGTTCACTAATGAAGAGTCTAACTTAAAAGAAGGGGAAAAAAAAGGAGCAAATGTGTGGAGAGCTGTCAACAGGAAACCCAGAGATGGAGAGTAGTCTTGGTTCCCAGCTTCCAATTCCTTGTACCCACCTCTTACGAGATCTAATTTTACCTCCCACTCTCAGAGACTATGAGTTACTCCTTATAGTAAATTGCCTTGTTTAAATAAGTTTCTGTCACTAACAATTAAAGAAACTGAGACTAAGATAGCTTTAACCTAGTACTCTATGGTGTGTAAGGAAGCAGTCTTCAATCCTGTATCCTTACAGTCCACTTCTGAATAGTCCACTTCCTACGTGACTTTCTGTTCACGTCCAGCCCTATTTCCATTTGCTGAGACAAAATTTAAATCCCTCCAATCAAAAAGGAAGCACTTAAAAAATAACCACATACAAGAAAGACACCATGGCTGAATTATTTCCTTGATTTCTGTGGAAAGGTAACTAGCTTGTAATTCTGGTATTCCATTTTTCCCAATCCATAGTCACATATCTCCCACTCCTTTCTCCTTACTGGTGGAGTAGAATATTAATCGTGGAATAGTAATGAAAATAAAATAATAGTAGTAAACAAATAGAAAATGTTTCAACAACGTTAAAGGGTATTCATATTTGGTCTTCTTAACAACCGTATAGACAGGTATATGTAGAATATACACTATAGAATATAGGCAAGTATTGAAGATAGATAAGGACAGTGTTATTATCCCATTTCTTATATGAGAAAACTAAGCCCTTATTTGTTTTTATCCTTATTTTTTACTTGAGAAAACTAAGAAATTAAATTCATTCATCTATCAAATGTTTTTTGTCTATTATGTGCCAGGAATATGCTTTCCTGCTTTCAGGAGCTTATATTCTAGCAGGGAAGGCAGACAAACAATTACCATATATGCGTTAAGGACACATTAAGAGCAAAACAAGACTTCCTGAGTGGAGAAAGCCTCTGTCCCCAATGGCTTTAGCTATACCCACAGTTACCTATTTTGTTGTACGTTCATGGTGAGAACGTCAAAAGCTCAATTACCCCATGAAACTACTGGAGGGCAGTTTTTGTATCCCCTACCCTACTTTAAATCCAAAGTCTCAAAACAACACATGTTGGGAGGTTCTCATTCCTTCACCCAAAAGAATTGCTCCCCTCATCTCTTTGCTAACCCTGTATTGCAGCACCACCGGGTTTGTAAGTAGCCCTCCTTGTCCCTCACCGCCCCACTTTCAAGTAGTGAGCTCTGTCCTTTATGCTCCCATGCCCTGCTGGAGCCTTTTCCCGAGCCATTATTTCTTACTTGAACCTCTGCAATAGGCTAACCAAGCTCCCAGCTTCTACCCCTCTTCACTGATTTCAGACACACAAATCTGATCATGCCATTCCAGTACTTTGAAAGTTCATGGTTACCCACACACCTACAGTCAATTAATCTTCAACAAAGGAGGCAACAGTATACAATGGAGAAAAGACAGTCTCTTTGGCAAGTGGTATTGGGAAAACTGGACAGCTGCATGTAAATCAATGAAGTTAGAACACTCCCTCGCACTATACACAATAAACTCAAAGTGGCTTAAAAACTTAAATATAGGACAGGATACCATAAATCTCCTAGAAGAAAACGTAGGCAAGACATTCTTTGATGTAAATAGTGGCAATGTTTTCCTAAGTCAGTCTCCCAAGGCAATAGAAACAAAAGCAAACATAAACAAATGGGACCTAATCAAACTTAAAAGCTTTTGCACAGCAAAGGAGACCATAAACAAAAAGAAAAGACAACCTACAAACTGGGAGAAAATATTTGCAAACAATGCGACTGACAAGGGCTAAATTTCCAGGATATACAAGCAGTTCATACAACTTAATAACAAAAAAACAAACAACCCAATAAAAAAAATGGGCAAGACCTACATAGACATTTCCCCAAAGAAGATATACAGATGACCAATAGGCACATGAAAAGATGCTCAATATCACTAATTCTCAGAGAAATGCAAATCAAAACTACAATGAGGTACCACTTCACATGGGTCAGAATGGTCATCCTTAAAAAGTTCACAAACAGACATAGAATACAAACTTGTGGTTGCCAAAGGGGTAGAGGGTGGGAAGGGATAGACAGGATTTCAAAATTGTAGAATAGATAAACAAGATTATACTGTATAGCACAGGGAAATACACACTAGATCTTATGGTAGCTCACAGAGAAAAAATGTGACAATGAATATATATATATATATGTTCATGTATAACTGAAAAATTGTGCTCTACACTGGAATTTGACACAACATTGTAAAATGATTATAAATCAATAAAAAATGTTTAAAAAAGTCCACAAACAATAAATGCTGGAGAGGGCGTGGAGAAAAGGGAATCCTCCTACACTGTTGGTGGGAATTTGGTGCAGCCATTACAGAAAACAGCATGGAGATCCCTTAAAAAACAAAAAAGTTACCATATGATCCATATGATCCAGACCCACTCCTGGTGGAGAAAACTCTAATTTGAAAAGATACATGCACCACAATGTTCATAGCAGCACTATTTATAATACCCAAGACATGGAAACAACTTAAATGTCCATCGACAGACAATTGGATAAAGAAGTTGTGTTATATATGTGTATGTATGTATACA